AAAGGTCAAGGAACAGTGCTCAGGCACTGCTCTTCCTGATGGCCAAACTCAAAAGTCTAAATGTGTATTTCATCACTGATGGAAAAAGATATTAAGAGCTTTCTCCTTTCCTCTGGGTTTTCATGCCTGCAGACAGAGCTGAGATCACAAAGGCATGATGCCCACTCCAGTGTTTCTCCAGCAAAGCTGTTTCAACTGGAAGTCTTCCTTCTACTTCATGTTCACAGGCCTAGAAAACACCCCAACCCTTGGCTGGTTGTTAGAGGTGGAAGAGTTATGTTGATGGGCTAAAAAGAAGGTTGAAAGGCTGCAGGAAGGAAGTGTCTGCAATGAGTGTGGCTGGAATTCAGTGGAGTAAAGATGTGCTACGTGGGAGGCAGCTGAAGTGACACAGGCCAGACTCAGTGACCAGATGTGACAATAATGCTCACCTTGCCCAAGCTGCTCTGTAGCTGGGGAAAGTTGTAAGTCTTCAAAGTAGACTTGGAAAAACGTACAGCAAAGGGCCTCAGTGTGTGTCTTGCTGCCTGAAGAGCTGCCACACTGTTCAACTCCCACCAGCTGCAGGAGGGGCCAGTCTCTGCAGTGGTGCCCTGTGACAGGATGAGGGGCAGTGGATGCAAACTGAAGCAGAGGAAGTTCCACCTCAACGTGAGGAAGGAAGAACTTCTTTCCTGTGAGGGTGACAGAGCCCTGGGACAGGCTGCCCTGAGAGGCTGTGGAGCCTCCTTCTCTGGAGACATTCAAGACCTGTCTGGATGCCTTTCTGAGTGACCTGCTGTGGTGATTCTGCTCTGGCAGGGGGGTTGGTCTGTGTCTCCAGAGGTCCCTTCCAACCCTCACCATTACCAGGACACAGCACAGCAGCCTCCAGGAACCCAGGAGAAAGCAGCTGCCACCGTGACCTGAGCTCTGCTGTGACCACTGTGCCTGTTCTGCAGTTCCCATTATTGCTGCACCTCATCATTTTCTTTCTTTCCCCTTATTTTTTTCTTTTTTAATTTTTTTTCTTTTCCTCTCTAAGAACCAGAGCTCAGTGCACTCGATCACATTCAGGTTATTTTTTTGTTGTCACTGTGCAATGAAGAGCAATTCCACGGGGTGTGCACTGCCCCCCTGTGCTGACCCAACCTCTGCTCCCTGCTGCTCTGCCTGGGCTGAGGGACCAGGGGAGTGAGAGGCCAGAGTGCTCCTCTGGAGGGGGGAGATGCTTTGCCTGGGCCTTGGGTAACCCCCCCTGCACCTCTCCTGTGAAAAAGCACCTGGATAAGCAGTGCTCTAAAGGCTGCTCCTCACCCACAGGGTGGGGATCTGCAGTCCTGCTCCCCCTGCACTCCTCCCCTCCCACAAAGGGCCAGCAAGGAGGCTCCCCAGCTCCTCAGGTGGGGCAACAAGCCCCTCAGGTGGGGCAAGCTGAGGACAGGGCTGCTGCCCTGGGAGGGGCACTGAACCCTCTCAAAGCTTTTTTGCCTGTAGCGCGGGTGGAGCAAGGGAGGCTCAGGTGGGCAGGTCCCCCCCCCACAGGAGGGCAGGGATTGACCAGGGATGATTCCCAGCAGGATTGCTGGCTCTGTGGATCTGCTAGAGCCCAGTGCTTGCTAAAATAAACAAGGGAACTTTGCCCTAACACTTGCAGTGAGACCCGTGAAGCAATGCTTGATGGCTGAGGCCTCTGGATAGAGCAGAACCCCCCTCCCTGTACCTGCCAGGGAGCCTGGCAGCCAATGCCTCCTGAATGTTGTTAGCACTTTGAAGTTGGTGGCCTTGTTTTCTTAAAAGGGCTTGATCTTTTCATGCAGTTCAAAGTAACTAATCCTCCCCATCATGTTGTCCTACTCCCCACCTCAAAATTAAGCGATGAACAAGCACCTGGACCATGTGAGATATTGTCCAGGTCTCAAGAATCTGTCATTAATCTCTGAAGTTTATACCTCAAATATAAAAACACATCTGTCTTAGTAACAACACTTGGTAAAGGAGCAGCTCCAAGTCTGAACTTTGTCCTTGAATCCAATTACTAACAGCACCAGGAAAAAAAACAAACCAAACTCACATAAGCACACAGAGAAAAGCACCAAGGGATTCTAGAAGCACCCAAACTGAACCATTTATCCTGGCAAAACCTCAGCATTTACATTCCCAAACAAGACACATGGAGGATTTTACCTGTACATCACCAATCTTTAAACACAGCCTATGCCTTTTAAACCTTGCTGGCCCTCCTAAAAAAAAGCAGGAGGGAGCAGAACACTAACAAGCACTAGCAAAGAAAAGTTACATTGCAAGGTCCAAGATGATTAAAGGTAGAAGGCAATGAGACATGCACCCAGAACAACTCAGTCAGTCATTTCCAACCATATCCTCTCTCCTCCCAGCAGCTGCTCAGAGGGCTGGGATGAGCATCTTGCCAGGGCTGCATCACACTAAAGTGACAGAACCACACAAAGCTACTTCACATCTCCCTTCCTTCACTCCCCAACAAGCTGCATCACTAACAATTACCTGAACCAAGAGAGTCCCATTAGACTGGGAAATTGCCACAACTCCATTACCCACCAGTTAAATGCCACAATGAGCTTAGCCTTCAATCTCTAGTAATCAAAAAGGAAGGTAAAAACCATCTCACCATCTGCGTGGCACTCGGTGACCAACCGTCCTTCCTGAGCATCCATCATCTGGGGGGAAGAGAAGTAGGTGCAGAATTCCCAGAGGACTGACATCCTCCCTTAGGGCAGCTCTGGGAGCCAGGATGTAGCCACATCAGTGAACAAATCTGGCTGCCTTCCCCAGTCCACTTAGTATTTTGTGATAAACTTTGTTTTGATGACAGATTCCTTCAGTTGAACAACTCCACCTGAAAATCAGTGCCACAGAGGGGTGACCTGGGGGGGGTCATTTAAGCCCCAGTTCCATGGTCAAGACAAGGGGATGGGTTTGTGATGGATACTTGAGAATGGGAATAGATAAGACAAAACACACAACCAAGCTAATGGCAATTTTCTACCTGTGTTATGTAATGTTTTATATGTGTGTGGTCTTTCTTAATGTAAAACTCTTGTATTTTTGTGGTTTATATGCAGCAGGGCTGAGGGCTGGGAGGGTGCACGCTGTTTTGTAAGGTGTTCTTAGCCAGTTTTTCCCCCAAGGAGGGAAAAAAACAAACCCCAATAATCTGAAGTATTCACGTTTTCATTGGCTTGTACCTGCATGTACAGTATTGGGGCAGCAAGTGAAGATGATTAAAGCCAGCTTGAAAACTTTGTGCTTGAGTCGAGCTTCTCAAAACATCCAGCCCAGAATCATCTGTAGCTTAAAATAAGGCAACTCTCCCTGTAACTGAGATGTTGGGGAGGGAGGGAAGAGGAAAAAACCCTCCTTTTTTTCCTGAAAGGAGGAGGTTTTTGACTTAAGGAAAGAAATACCATAATTAATATGCAAGCAGAGCACCAGCAGCTTGAGGCTCACACAGGCAGCTGAGCTCTCCCCTGCAGCTGCACAGCCACCCACAAGCCTAAGGAAAACTGGCTTCAGAGCTGGTTTGAGATGACTCCCAAATTTCTCTCCCCTCCTCCCCCAGCTTTTCATATTCTGTTACCACTTTTTAAAAAGCTTAACATTTACCTTTAGAACAGGCCTTGGTCAGGCTGTGTTGGACATCAGGGTGAAGCTGCACCCCTCATAATTTAAGTTCTCCCTGCAGCAGGAAAACTGTTACCCACCCCCCTGAGCTGTGAGTCTCCTGTGGATCAAAGTGTCACTGACCTGATTCTGTCCCTGCTGAGCCTGGTGCTTTGCAGGGTGACAGTCCTTAGTGTCCAGGCAAGCTATTCTCACCCAACATTTGGGACACAGCATCTGCTCCAAGGCAGGTGGAGCTGGTCTGATTTGGCTGAAAGGCTCCAAATCCCCACACACCTGAAGGGAATAACTCACAGTGTTAAACACAACCTGTTAACAGTGTTGAAAACCAAGATGAAGTCAGTTGAGGTTTCACTGCAATGTTTTATTTGGGAATTTACATATACACAGGAGGAAGCAGACCACAGGAGTCTGGCTTCTTGCTCACGCTGATGAGTTTAAGCAGTTGTGTTCTACTGAAGATGAGAAAAGAAATCTGACCCACCCACCTTCTTATGCCTAGAGAAAAAAATGTCAAAAGCCAACTAGGAAAGGGTACCAGGAATACAGGAACAACAAAAACAATATGAAAAAAGTATAAATTAGGATGTCATAGTCATTTTAAAAGTGTAAGAAAACTTGAAGTGGGGCTCTCAGCCCTTGATAAGTTAACTCTCAGTTAGATTGTTAAAAGTTAAATACATCAATACCACATATTAGACAGAAAAGCCACTCTGAAGTGCAAGTTTCACATTCCAGACATTGTCCCCACAGTGGGCGAGAATCCTGCTTGCTCATGGGGGGAGGGAGAGGGATCTTCCCAATGACTTTGGTTCCAATGAGGGTTGGTGAGCCAAGCACAGCGAGGCCTCAGCTCCAGAGAACTCCACTCAAGGGAAGAGGTAGCAAGGCTTGCTTGCCCCTGGGCTTGGGTTAAAATCCAGTTCCTCAGCACCAAACAGGGTTTCCACCCCTCTGCTAACCAAAACCCCTACTAATACTAGTTTAAGTGATTTATTTTTATTTTTTTTAAAAGGCCTGGCATGCCAGGCAGTATGAAGTACAGACTTCCCAAGTTCCTCAGTCACACCTCTGCTAAGATACCCAGCAGGACATGAAGTGCTACCCAGAAGCATTAGTGGAGGTTTGTGCAAGGAGGGGATTCCACCCCAGAAGTGTGCATTGACTGTGCTAGATACAGGGGGGCTGATGTTCTGGTCACTGAGGTTTCACTGTGTCTGACAGTGAAAAGGCAGAGATGGGTCTCAGTTATGGAAAGAGGTTCAAGGCTGGGCAACCAGCCAGAAAGGAAAACCCTGAATGTCTCATGGAGCAGTTTTGAAGAACAGAACAGAAGGCAAAAATGGTCACAACGCGAGGGATCATTTCCACATCTGGGTGCTGAGGGACTGATTGCTGCCCTGGGCACCTCCTCCACCCGTTGACTGTCCATATCCCATCATGCCATTAGCTCCATAGAAATTCATCCCTGCCATCTGCTGGGTCATCTGCAAAGGGGAGAGGAGAAAAATCAGGGCTGTGTCAAGACAATTGGCAATCCACAGCAATCAAAGGCAAAACTCTTGCTCCCCAATATACTAAAGGCTTAACCAAGTTCTTCTGAAGAGTTTCAGTGAACAAAAATCCCTGATTTCTCCTGTGCACACCCTTCCAGCAAGCTGAGGAAGGCTTCAGTTTAGCTGAAGTTGAACTGATTTTTGCCCTCCACCAAGCACTGAGGCCTCTGAACAAGTCACTCCTTTGTGACCCCTCAGATTGCCTGCAGAGCTCACCCAGCCCCAGCAGCCAGGCTGGAAAAGCCCTGAAGCCTTCAGGTACCAGGCCAAGTTTAATGGCACACACCTCCCCTGCCCTCCATCACCTTTGGGTCAGCAAGAGATGACTCCTCACCTGAGCAATGTTCCACTGCAGCTGCTGTGCTGGCTGCACCCCATAGACAGGCTGGGGGAA